CCCCAAAGGCCGCAAATCAGTCTTTCTAGGTAAGCTTACCATCCGCACAGGCTGCGGTCAAAGCCTCATGGTACCGCGGCTGGCACCAAAAAACGAGCTCAAGGTCAAAGTTTCAGGACTCATGGTTTTCGTATTTGACTGAAGCCTCTCGCGTGGAAGACAGTTTCAAAAGGACGAGCAAGCACAATATCGCTGCGGCTACCTCCGAGCTTGTGTCGTTCTGAGCCCGAAACCCTGACAGGCTTTGCTCAATCTTGTTCCAGATGCAAAACGCGGTTTGCCTAAAGCTTACAGTTGTCTTCAACTCCAAGGCGAACCAGACACCCGAAGGCTTGATCCCTCCACCCGAAGCCCCTACCGATTGGAATTCCAGGTACCGTCAAGAGGCAGCTCAGTGACCAACACTCTCCCTATGCGGCCAAGGCGAGGAACTTTCTTGGGGCTCCGGGAGGAGAGAGGTTTTTTTGTGGTTGTTTCGTATTTGCCTTGCCCAGCCATTTGGGAAGCTGGCGAATGAAGACCACCTGACTCTTCTACCGGATTGATGCTGAAAGGCGCTACGACAATCAACATGTAGGCTTGTCAACGCGTATCTGCGTAGGAGCTCAGAAGCCCCCTCAGCATTTCATGCAACCTGACGAAACGTGAATGCCCACCTGGTGCAACTACATGTGAGAGCCCGAAACCTTCAGCCATTTGAGCAAAGTAGACGGGGCCGGTGTTGCTACTGTTTTGTTCCCCAACAGTTTTCCGCGCAGAACTCCAAATCGAGGCGCGACACCCCCGTCGGACCAAGAGCAAAGAAGAAGGTCTTCGACAGGCGTCAGGAGTTCCAGAGAGACCGTTTGGATTCTGAGTTTTGGCCATGGTCAGGGTCCCTGTCATTGTGCTAGACTCGAGTCATTGAGAATTTAGTTATTAGACATCGGCCTTTGGCAATGGCAAGGGCACACCATGTGTTGGTGAGATGTGAAATAGAGCTACAAGGCAGGAAATGATTAGATGCAATGCCAGATGGTGTTTTTCCGGCCTCTTGCAGGTTCCCTGGTACGGGGTTTGAAAACAGCAGCTCGGAGAATAGGAGAGTTGAAGCAAGTTATCCACAGTGATCCTTGCATACAGGCTGGTGTCGAGATCGCGTTCTTTTTCCTTCAGCCCATGCAGAGACATCAGTTCGACAGCCCGCCTCCGATGCCCGACCCTACTCATCAACACAATGTTTAACTGAGGCTACTCTTGTTAGCAGGAAATGTTCAGCCATCAGAATGCCAGCTGTGAAGCAGTCGTCGTCGTCATCGTCGTCCTTGTCGCAGAATATATTATGTATCCCAGTCTTGTTTCCAAAAAAAGAAAATTGAAGGAGAAGACTAAGAAGAAGAAAATAGACATAAGAAGAAGAAGAAGAAGTACGTAGTAGTAGTAGTAGTAGTAGTAGTAGTAGTAGTAGTAGTAGTAGTAGTAGTAGTCGTGCTAGTAGTAGTAGTAGTGGTAGTAGTAGAAGTACTAGTACTAGTACTAGTACTACTACTACTACTACTACTACTACTACTACTACTAGTACTAGTACTAGTACTAGTACTAGTACTAGTAGTAGTGTCGCCGTCGCCGTCGCGGTCGCCGTCGTCGTGGTGTTCAGGGCCGTGGCAGTAGTAGTGATAGTGCTGCTAGTGGTAGTGGCAATGGCAGTGGCAGTGGTCGTGGTCGAGCGCGTGATAAGGGTAGTGGTGGTCATTGTCCGAGTCCCCAACAAACCCAGCCCAAGACTGAAATCAGAGCCCTTCGCTGCAACCACGGGTCATGCTTCCGAAGACATCCGTTTTCGGCGCCTCCACGGCTGAGGGGCTAAGCTTTTGATCTAGGTTCTGACTGCTGGTGTTGCTTCGGTGTGGTTGCACATCACCTGCAACATCTGAAAACGGTATGCACTGTAACACTTGCGTCTGAGGTAGTTCAAGTACACTCGAAGACAAACTGGCACACAACACTCACTGGGAGTGATAAGAAGCTACTGGCTAGCAACTGCAGTCGGCAGAGATCAATGCCTAGCTCGAGCTTGTTAGGACAAGTTTAAAGCCCGGAACAGACACCATGACACCATGCAAGAAACGACGAGACAAGTCAACCAGATCGACAATCTGCCGTCGAAGATAGAAGTTTGAGACGAATGATTCCACGGAAGGTAGGCAGCAGAGCCGAGCGAAAAAAACAAAGGGGATAGTAGTATAGTAGCTCAGCCAGCATAAGATCATGTGTTGAGATTGCATGAGCCTGTTGTTAAATGGCTTACTGTGTCCCCGCTGCAAGCATCAGCTGCTGTCTCTTTGTCAGCACAGACAAGCTGCTCGACTCTAGTGTTTGCATGTCCGCAAGCAGGCAGACAGCTCTTGGTCAACAGACTCTGCGGCCTTCGCAGTGAAGCTTGGGAACGTACCGAGCGCCACATGTGGCTTGAAATGGCATCGGGCCTCGTCGAGCATCGTGGGTGTCCACACGAGCCGGTAGTAGACAAAGCCTTCCCAGCGGGCGGTGGAGACTTCTTCGTGCTTCTCTACACAATCATTCTTCCTGACACAATGAGGGTGCCTGGAGGACAGCTGCTAAAACACTCTTCGTAGAACCCAGGCAGCACATCAGCAAGCACATCACCAATTGACATGCTGATTGCAGCCTGCATGGCCACCAGACTATGCTACCTGCAGCCTTCATCACCACAAAACTAAACTTCATAGCCCTTGCATTCCAGGGGCCAAAGTAGAACATGAAGATGGTCCTTGGAGGTGCAGCCGGTGCTCAGCAAGCGGTCTTATGGCAGCGCATGTCTCAAGCCCAGCACTTGCACACAACGTCCGAGCAAAGAGAAGAAACTCTCGTTGAATCGAGGTGCTGGCAAAGCCTGCGCACATGCCGGCGGTTGTAGCTTTCTTGCTGTACTCTCTCAGCTCGCAGTTCTGCTAGTATGTCAAACTCGGGACGTGGCAAAGACACCGAAAAACTTTTCGGATGTTCGCTTGCACATACGGCTCAATCGCAGTTCAGCATCTAGTTAATCTAGTTAAACTGTAGCAGCGGCCAACCTCAGAATAAGGAACCTCCCCGTTCATCCATGCTTGGTTGAAATTGTGGCAACCCTAAAGCCCCTAGCCCCACAGGCCTCATCAGCCAGACCTGCAAGGAGACGGCATGTGATCTTGAGGTCTAAACAATAAATGCTGTTGTTCATACCTGTGGCCTCAAGTGGCGCAACAAACCTATGATGACATTTTTGAAAAGGAAACGACGCATCAAGAAGCTGAAGACGATGATGATGAGAAGGAGGAGGTGGATGAGGATGAAAGGGAACATGAAGATGAGGATTGTGGTAATGATTGTGATGATGATGACGAAGAGGAGGAAGATGAGCATGAAGATGCAGAAGATGCTAATGATGGTGATGGTGATGGTGATGAAGAAGGAGAAGAAGAAGGAGAAGAAGATGATGAACATGGTGATAATGAACAAGAAAAGATGATGATGGTGATGATGATGATGATGAAAGAAGAAGAGTGATGATGATGGTGATGATGGTGATGACGGTGATGGGGATGAGGATGATGGTGATGATGATGATGATGATGAAGGAGGAGGAGATGATGAATGTGATGATTGTGAAGAAGAAGTTGCTGATGATGATGGTGATGATGACGATGATAGTGATGCTGATGATGATGGTGATGATGGTGATGATGGTAATGATGACGCTGACGGGGAGCTTCTGCATGATGAGGAAGAACAGCCAGACGATGACGATGATGCGATCATGTCGGCACAACAACAACAGCCGTAAATGCAGCAGCAACAACGACACTATCATCATCACCAGCAGTAGCAACATCTTGCTGCTGCTGCAGCAGCAGCAGCAGAAGCAGGAGCGGCAACGGCAACAGCAACCACCACCACAACAGCAACCACCACCACCACCACCACGACTACGACCACGACCACAACAACACGACGAGGACAACCACAACTACAACGATAACGACACGGTAACAATGAGTCAGCATCCGTTCGGTGCAAGATTTTTCCTCCATCCACCGCTCCTCGTCCTCCTCCTCCTGCTGCTGCTGCGGCTACTGCTACTACCACTACGACTACTGCTACTACTACTTACTACGACGACGACTACGACTACGACTACGATTATGACTGCGACTACGACTACGACTACTACTACTACTACTGCTACTACTACTGCTACTCCTACTACTACTACTACTACTACTACTGCTGCTACTACTACTACTACTACTACCAGGACGACGACGACGACGACGACTACTACTACTACTACTGCTACTACTACTACTAGTCCTATTACTACTACTACTACTACTACTACGACGACGACGACGACGATGACGACGACTACGACTACGACTACGACTACGACTACGACTACGACTACGACTACAACTACGACTACGACTACTACTACTACTACTACTACTACTACCACTACCACTACCACTACCACCACTAGCACGGCTTCTGCTACTGCCAATGCCATTACAACCACCGCTACTGCTGCTGCTACTGCTGCTGCTGCTGCTGCTGCTGCTGCTGCTGCTGCCGCTGCTGCTGCTGCTGCTGCTCCCACTGCTACTGCCTATTCCTATCCCTATTCCGACTACAGTCACTACCAGTACTCAGTGTTGGTACTAGTACCCATTACCTGTTTGCCTATTGCCTCTTGCCTCTGGCCTACTGCCAACTTATGGCCTATTGCTCACTACCCATTACCTATTGCCTGTCCCTTTGTTGCCTATTACACATTACCTTATTGACCTACTACTAGTCTAGTACAACTTCGGCCCCTTCAACCACTGCTGCTGCTGTTGCTGCTCCTGCCCCTGCTCGTGCTACGATTACTACTAACTATTGCGACGACGACACCGTGATGTCTCTGCAAGGTACTACGGTTACTACGGCTATCTGGGAGAACAGATACTGGCACGGAGAGCCTCCTCTCGGCGGCCGCAAGGACAGCACGTCCAGGCATCCTGTGTGGAGGCTTCTATGGGGACTAACGAAGATATGTTCAACTCCAGCCGTGAGTGGAGGGTATCCGGGGCAGTATAGACCCTAAAGTCGTTTATCTGCCTTCGTCTCGCCGCCATGGCCTTCCACAGCAGCCACCACGGCCTGGCCAGCGGCATCTAGAGCTCCACAATGCTCCGAGGGCCGCTGACGGTCCGGGACCCCTGCGGAAATCGTGCGCCGACTGATGGCGCGGTGCTCTCGCCTGGTGGCAAGGCTCGGAGTGCCCTGACAGAATAACCCTTACGGTATCTTGCGGCCAGTCCACCCCCGTCTACTCTGAAGTGGAACCCCAAACCCCGGTCATGTCACCACAGGAAGTCTTCGGATCCTCACAGCCAGGGGCCGGGCTGTTCGCCAGAGGTAGAGCCGTTGGGCGTCCATGACGTCTTGCAGCTGCTACCTGCTCTTGCCCACATGTTCTATCAGTCCACTGGTACTTGAAAGAATCGGTCCGAATGTAACTAGATTAGTTGAAATTTCTGGACTTGTCTGAAGCAGCAGACAACGAACTCTTGTGCAGTGTGCCGCACCTGTCGAGGCACTCTTCTGGATTCTTTGCAAGTGCTGGTCATCACTGCTTAGACTGCATCAATCGAAATCCCCTGATCGCTGCATTCCGTAGTCCTCAATGCGGGCAAGAGCATTGTCGCTTCGGGAAGAATCAAGCGCTAAAGACATCTGACCATGATTGCAGTCTGGCGCAAGTTTGGATGCCCGTTCTTCCGGCTGTGGCAAACGGGGAAATCAGTGTGAGGACATCGCAGGAATTGCGCATGGCTGCAGCTACCTACTGAGTCGAGCGAGCTCAGTACAGCAGAAGACTGATGGGAGCAAAGGATAAAGACAGGAAATCAGATTACATTCCGCACGTCTGAACTCTCAACCTTTCTCTGTCAATCAGGAGGGAAACTTAGCAACATTGCCGAGGATCATGATGAAGATGGCGGTTCATGGAATTGTCACACCCCACACGATCCAATGCAGAAGCAAAACGATGCGACCAGAAGCAATAGGCGGACAAACAGCCTCCTCCCTGGCTTCTGCTGCGTGTGAGGTCTAAAGCCTCGGCAAATGGCTGACTCGACAACAGCAAATCACGGACGCAAAAACGATGGTGTCCCTGGTCGCCCTGGTCGTCGTCATAGCAGCAGCTGAAGCAGCAGCCGCTGCTGCGAGACAAAAAGCACCGAGTGTAGGTGCAGTCGCCGTAGAGGCAGCAGTAGCCGTTGCAGTAGCTGTAGCGGTAGCGGCAGCGGTAGCGGTAGCGGTAGCAGTAGCAATAGAAGTAGTAGTAGTAGTCGTCGTCGTCGCCGTCGTCGTCGTAGTAGTAACAGCAGCAGCAGGAGTAGTGGTCGTGGCATTAGTAACAGCAGTAGCAGCAGCAACAGTAATAGTAAGAGAACGGTGATAGCAATCGTAATGGAATTAAGAATACTAGCCGTCATATTGAGTCATATTGTTATTTCCATTGAAAAAAGCTGTAGCAGTATTAGCAGTAGTAGCAGT